CCTGAGGCTGTCAAACCCCTTCACAGAGGGACTGTCCTTTTCTCCTTCACCTTTCCTCTTAACTCCCCTTTTACGCCCGTTGCCCAACGTTTCCCAGAAGATGCCCCATCCCTTCAATCTCCCTCCAGGGAGTGTCTTCTCCCTCTTCCTACTCGTTTTCCTCTATGTTGCCCCTTGTAGGTCCTGGTCCTCAAGAACAGGTAAGGAGTATCTGTCCTTAAAAGCTCCTCTGATTGTTTTCTCATAAGGACTCTGACTCTGTAACTATATCCGGAACTTAACTGCTCCCTTCTGTCTGGTTAGTGCATGAGGCTGGCTCCACTAGGACGAAGGTGCTTGCCAACCCTGCTTCTGCACAATCCTCTACAGCCAGTCAACCACGGCCAAGGACATCAGTGTAAAAGCTGTATCCATGGAAGGCCTCTGGATGAACCCAACTGGGCTGCCCATCACAGCCCTGGTCAACCTCCTGAGTCAGGCAGGAGGGAGTGGGGCCTCGGGACTCTATTGTTAACAAGCTCTTCGGAGGATTGCAGTGGAGAGTCAGATTGGGAACTGCCAATGAGTGTGGTGTCCCACCTTACAGGCTTGAAAAGAGGCCATAGTGAGAGACATGCCTAAGCACACACACCTGATTAAGGATAGGGTTGGGGCCAGAACCCATAGGACTGCTCTTGGGCTCTTTCCACTAACCTCCCTCCTGCCGCACCCTCCAGCAGGCATGACCTGGCCCTTTGCCTTAGGCTGCCTCCCGTTCCCACAGCTACACCCTCACTCGGCCAGAGGAGATAGACCTTCCCAGGAAATGACCCCAAAGGCTTCCATTCCACATGGGCTACTAAAAGGAGTTTTTTTGGGTAAAATAGGAATTTTTTTTGGGGGGGGGGGTGAAATAGGCAAGTTTAGGAAATTTTAAAAATTAAGGGGTCCATGGAAAAAACACAGGGCTATGGAGTTGTAAAAGGGCACATTTCCATAAGACAAGGGAGTGGCAGAAGTTATATTTCCATAAGAGAAGGGAGCTGGGAGTAGCAAAAGGTACACATTTACAGAATAAAGGGAAGGAGGATGAAAGCCCAGAGGGAGGGAGCAACTAAGATGGCGGCATAGGTAAACACCGGGAAATTATCGCCTCACACAACAATTGAAAATTACCGCAAAGGACTGAGCAAACATCATCCAGAACAACAGGAAGGCTGGCTGAGTGTAAATTCTACAACTAGAAGGAAAGAAAAGCACGCTGAGAGCCAGAGGCGCTGCGGAGGTGAAGTGCAGAGGTACGGCGGCGCGCGCGCGAGGAAAGGGGGTGGCGCCTGAGGACGCGGCTGTCTTTTTGAATCACAAACTCCCGACGGCTCTGAACTCCGGTTCCGGAAAGTCTCTGGGGACCCAGGTCTCATACGGGGAGAAGCTGGTCTGTCCGGCAGCGAGCGAACTTGAGGGCGGCTTTCCCTCAGAGGTGCTTGCAGCCGTTACCGGAACACTGAGACGCGCGACTCCGGGCGGAGAATCGGCCATGGCTGCTTTCTCCGCCCTCTGACTCCCTGAGACCCCGCCCCACCCAGGCTGCGGCAGAGGCTTTTGCATGTGAATGTACCTAACTGCAGCCGAACCAGGCAGACCTGGAACTTCCAAGAGAAGGCCCAAGGCCCCGCAGCGGCTTGCATTGCTTCACAGCTGAGCCTCTTCGTGGCTCCTGCTGTGTGGCCTCAGGCAGAGGCTGAATTAGCACCTCCTTAGATCCAGGAGCCACTGTACCCAGTGGTCAGAGGGGGTCCATCCAGACTGCAACTCCTCAGATCCATAAGGGACGCACTCAGGGAGCAGACTCAGTGAGCACCAAAGCCCCACTGAAGCAAGTCTTGCCCCAGAAGGGTGTCTTCAGCACAGAAGTTCTCCCACTTTAGACACAGCTGATTCTCACAGCCAATTGGCCTGGAGGTCAATTCCTCCCAGTGATTCTACAACAACCAAGGCACCAAGAGTGCACCAAGAGTGTCCACCCCAGGTAACTGGGGAGGCTGAGCTACTGGGCCCTACAGGACACCTGGCGCACAGGGCCACTCCATCAACACAGGGAAGCTGCCAAAATGCGGAGACAAAGAAACAGGTCACAAATGGCAGAAATGGAGGAAAGCAAACGATTGGATATAGAGTTTAAGGCCACGGTTATAAGGTTTTTCAAGAATTTTATGGAAACCGCCGATAAATTTAATGAATCCCTCAATAAGTATAGGGAGACCATGGAGGACATGAAAAAGGACCAACTAGAAATTAAGCATACACTGACTGAAATAAAGAATAATTTACAGAGATCCAGCAGCAGAAAAGAGGATCCCAAGAATCAAGTCAAAGATTTGAAATACAAAGAAACAAAAAATACCCAACCGAAAAAGAAAAAAGAAAAGAGATTCCAAAAATATGAAGATAGTGTAAGGAACCTCTGGGACAACTTCAAGCGTACCAACATCAGAATTATAGGGGTACCAGAAGAAGAGAGAGGGCAAGATATTGAAAACCTTTTTGAAGAAATAATGACAGAAAACTTCCCCTACCTGGTGAAAGAAATGGACTTACAAGTCCAGGAAGCGCAGAGAACCCCAAACAAAAGGAATCCAAGGAGGACCACACCAAGACACATCATAATTAAAATGCCAAGAGCAAAAGATAAAGAGAGAATCTTAAAAGCAGCAAGAGAAAGACAGTCAGTTACCTACAAGGGCGTACCCATACGACTGTCAGCTGATTTCTCAACAGAAACCATGCAGGCCAGAAGAGAGTGGCAAGAAATATTCAAAGTGATGAATAGCAAGAACCTGCAACCAAGATTACTTTATCCAGCAAAGCTATCATTCAGAATAGAAGGTCAGATAAAGAGCTTCATGGATAAGAAAACGCTAAAGGAGTTCATCACCACCAAACCAGCATTATATGAAATGCTGAAAGGTATTCTTTAAGAAGAGGAAGAAGAAAAAGGAACTCTTACCATTTGCCACAGCATGGATGGAACTTGAGAGCGGATAAATACCACAGGATCTCACTCATTTGTGGAATATAATGAACAACATAAGCTGATGAACAAGGACTGATCCAGAGACGGAGAGGCATTGATTGGACTGTCGGGACTTGGAGGGAAGGTAGGGGAGGGTGGGGGTAAGGGGGAAAGATCAACCAAAGGACTTATATGCAAGCATATAGGCCTAACCAATGGACATGGACAACGGGGGGGTGAGGGCATGAGCGGGGGTGGGGGGGGTGGGGGGTAGAGGGTAACGTGGGGACAAGGACACATATGTAATATCTTAATCAATAAAAAATATATTAAAAAAAAAAATGAAATCGACCGCCAAGACCGGTTTGGCTCAGTGGATAGAGCGTCGGCCTGCGGACTGAAAGGTCCCAGGTTCGATTCCGGTCAAGGGCATGTACCTGGGTTGCGGGCGCATCCCCAGTGGGAGATGTGCAGGAGGCAGCTGATCGATGTTTCTCTCTCATCGATGTTTCTAACTCTCTATCTCTCTCCCTTCCTCTCTGTAAAAAATCAATAAAATATATTAAAAAAAAAAAAAAAAAAAAAAAGAAAGCCCAGAGGGAATAGGGAAACAATAAGGAAGGAGGGGAGGAGAGCCTCACATGTCCCATGTGAGGTTAAACCTTTCAGCTCAGGAGTTGCTATAGTGACCAAATCAGAAGGGGATAGTGACCAATCAGAGGGGATAGTGACCAATCAGAGGGGATATCAAGGCACACAGATCTGCAGCCTGTGGAGAACCATGAAAAAGGGACTTGAGGGGACTCTTTCTCCCTCCCCACATGAGAGTCTGTGCTGTGAGATTCTTCCCTCTCCCAATGTGGGAGTCTGTACTTGTTCTTCAATAAATTTCTACCTTTACTAAACCATCTTTCATCCCTGGTTTCATTCTTCGACTCCGACGGACAAAGAGCCCGGGAAAAGCCATCCTGCCCAGGGAACACCGGGTGTTCCAGTCCAAAAATCCTGTATCACTATTAAATGAGATAAGTTCACTGGGCGTGGGAATCTGACACACAGGCCTCCCCACCTGCAGTCAGATGTTCTTCCCCTGAGCCACAAGTCCACTTCCAACTGTTTCCTAATTGACACCATTTCATGACTGTGGCCGCCCCTGGGAGGGATTTCCCAGTAACCCAGTGGGTCAGCCCCATGTCCTGGCTGACTCAACCTCTCCTGGCCATAAGCTTCCTCCCCCTTCTCCACTGACCCCTCATCTGAGTGCCCAGTCTCCTCTGCCCTGCCCAGCACATTCCCCTCCTCTGTCGCTAGCTGATGCACCAGGGGTAGGAAACGTCCAGTCCCGGGCCATATAAGGCCCGAGAAATCATTTGGTCTGGCCCTGCCATGGCATTAGGAGTGAGTTAATTAAATGTTTGATGAAATATAGCAGGCTAATTTTTAAGTTGATAATGTTGTATGGCCTGAGAATGATGTTATAAATATCCAAATGGCCCTTGGCAGAAAAAAGGTTCCCCACCCCTGCACTAGGGAGAAAGACACCTCATTGGGACAGCCCCACTGCTTCTTTCCCATTTGTTCTAAAACCTCCCCAGTACTCTCTCTGCACCCCACCTCACAATCACAGCCACTGAGTGGGCATGGAGGACCAGGGCAAAGACCTGTTAGGATTGGGATTCAATTATTCTTATTATACAGATAAGTTCAGTGAGGTAAAAAGGAGGATGAAAGAAAATATTGCTTTAAAAAAACTCACATCAGTGTCTTGCCTGCTGTTGAGTGCATTATAGATTTTCAACAAATACTTGTTGACTGAAAATGTATAGGAAAATTTAAAAATACAAATAAGCACCAGGAAGAAAATAAAAATTAATCTCACCAGTAAATCACTGCTGTTAACAGTTTGGTTGTTATTTTTCCAAACTTAAAAATATACAGCCCTCGGCTGGGATCTAACTTCTTGCTGCTATGGGTGTCCAGCTACTAGGTAATCAAAATACAGTCAAACCTTGTTTCTCGAACGTCTTCCATCTCGAACAATTCGGTTCTCGATCAAGTTGTTCACAGAGGAAAATTTCTTGGTTGTGGACCAAAACTTCAGTTTTTGACCTAACTGCACTTTCATGCTGATACTTCAGTCTCAGCATGACAAAAAGCATCTTGCAGGCTACAAACGAAAGAGAGAATGCTTTTGTTGATGGTGATTAGAACAATTTTAAAACATAAAGAGGCCATTAAGAATGCTAATATTGCAAAGGGTGTTCAAATGCTCACAGAACAGCAATCACAGGCAACTGAATAAGTAGAAAAACTGTTGTTGAATGGCTGTAGGGAAAGCAGTTAGCCTGTGATAGCATTTCGGAGGCCGTGAAAGGGGATGGCGGAGGCTGTGAAAGGGGATGGTTCCATAAATTTATGAAAAGTGTTTGTTTATAGATTAAACAGTAGAGTAGATATGTACTGTATATAAGAAAGGTTGAAACAGGGAATCATTTGGGGGGTCTGGTACAGATTAATTCAATTTACATTATTTCTAATGGGAAAAATGATTCCGTTTTCAAACAGCCTTCTGGAACGAATTAAGTTCGAGAAACGAGGTTCCACTGTACATAAATGTGTATTTGTCTTGTTGTTAATCCTCACTGGAGAATAGTTTTTCATTGATTTTTAGAGAGAGTGGAAGGGAGAAACATTGATGTGGAGAGAGACATTGATTGGTTGCCTTCTATGCACGCCAGGCTGGGGATCTAGCCTGAGGTACGTGCCCTTGACTAGAATGGAACCTGGGACTCTTCAGTCTGAGAGCCAACATTCTATCCACTGAGCCAAACCAGCTAGGGCTGTCTTTGCTTTATTTTTACGGATGTGCAGAGATGTATGTACATGGCTGGTCATTGCAAAGTGATGTGTAAAAATGGAATAATACTCTGCAATGCATTCTATGTAGGCACTAGAACTCCGTAGGGACAGAACCTGGGATCAGCACTCTGGATCTGCAGTCACTTCCGCCTAGCATGAGGTGATCAAGGGAAACCTTTAGCCTCTTCCACTAAGAATCTTCTGTCTTCAATTCAAATTAGAAAACACATATCCATGACAGCATCTTTCAACATTTCCAGTCTACAAAGACATAGATAGGATTGAAATGGTTTTCAAAGATGCTTAAGCTTCAGTAAATAATGTATTTCTAAAGGTTGTGTTAGGGCAGAAATAGAATATTGGGGATCAGCTATAATTATAAGAAATATTAACATGCTTTGTTAATTGTGATTGTTTTGTTTTGATTAAAGAAGACACATTCTAACCTGATTGGGAGTTGCACGTGAGACCTGGGAGCTCACCTGGAAATGCGGCCCATCCTCTACATGGCCCATCCTCTACATCCGGGAGCTGCCTATTATCATGGAAAGCTTAACAACCTTGTTGCAGAAACCAAAGGCCATTTGTATACCCCTGGCTTTTGCAAACCTCCAGCCTGTATTTACCTGTAAACTGCTCATTTTGCATACCCATTCATATCCCTTTTGCCTACTTCCCCAAGTAATCTTTGTCCTTCTACCCAATATAAGCAGCAGCTGGCTTACGCTGGGATGCAAAGCAGATTTTTGTGGATGACCTGCTGCTCTCCCATACTGCTGACATTATTGGAATAAACGCTCATTTATGTTCAACCCTGTCTCTGCTTAATTGGCTCAAGTAGTGACAGGCAGCACAGACCCCTTGGTTTTCCAGTTACAGTTGTATTGATTGGGTTGTCTTCTAACCATTGTGTTCGTTGAATATATGGAGTGAGAACGTGGCGGGAGGGGGGACATGACACACATAATTAAGTACATTCCATCCTTCCAATCTCTCAGTCTTTAGATTTAGTTTCCAAGACTTTGTGGCATCTCAATTTTATCTACCTTTGAACAAGTTTGATTTCTACTTTTAATCAACAAGTTGAGCAAACAATCAAAGTAATCCCCAGATATTCCAGGTAGGACAGTGTTAGGTCGCCGAAGGAGGAAGGCACGAGGCCAAAATGGTGAGGGATTACGAATTTATTCGATCATCCTCACACCAGGTGGCTGAGACTGGATGGCCCCAGCACCCAGTGATGGGAGTCAGCGGCTTTTAAAGGACTTTTGGTGGGCTTTTTTCTGAGCCGAGACTTCTTTGTGTATTCCCAGAGGGAAGATAATGGAATGTGGTCACCACAAGTGAAATGTGGTCTCAGCAAAGGGAATGTCCATAGTGAGATGACCTGAAAAGCCAGTTCCCAGGAGAGGGGTATCGATTCCATTATTTGATCAGGCCTAACAGACAGTGGGTCAGAATTCAGCCAAGTTTAACACTGTATCTTTCTTTCCCTGGTCAAGAATTCATTTCCACACACAATCCCCCAATTTGTGCTGTTGTCTTCCAGGTTATTTTTGTGTATGAGCCTTCCTTGCAAGGTGTGACTTTGTAATTGGCTCCCCAGGGCATGGTGGGATTTCCTGAAGTTACAGATCAAAATAAAAAGGGGTGGGGCGAGGGGAGGAGGGGCTTTATTAGTGGACAAAAGGAGGTCCCAAAGATTTTGTGCTTAGGTATAGGTTGGGTTCTACAAATCTTGTGAATGCCCATGACGAGTCTTGGGGGACTCACTCTTCTGCATCAGAACCCTAAATTTTCACACAGGGAAGCTGTGAATTAAATTGACAGAATCAAACACTGCCCTTGGTTGTCTGCTAAGTCATATGGCTGCTGGAGGTTTTAGTTCTTCTCATTGAGCTTTGCACGGTGTCCCTAGGCTCTCTGCTACCTTAGGCACCAGTCAGCACTACTGTCTGCTTCTGAGAAAGGATATAGAAATGTGCACCAATTCCATGACACTTCCAATGCAATGACAACAAGCAAATGGGTATCTAGAAGCCCTGCCTCGTAGGCACTGCATTGCAGATGACAATCAGCAATAATTTACTTAGCTATTGTGCCAGATGCCCAGGCCTAAAGAACTAGTTAGAGATTTCCTCTAACTCTAGCCTTAACTAGTCTGGATAATCAATACCATTTTCATGCGTATCCTGTTGCCTGAAACTCACTTCTAATACCAATTTATGTACCAGTTAGGAAATTTGGGTTTAAAACAGGAACTAACTTTGGCTACCTGAAACAGGTAAGGCAAACCTATTACTGAAGAGAAGGCTGGAGAAAGAAGCTTAGAAATGGGGCCAGATCCAAGGGGAACTAAGCAGCCAGAGTTCAGCCAAGGTCACACAGAGCCCCAGTCTGTGAGGAAGTGTCTTCCACTGGAGCCAGTGCCAGAAGGGAGTCTAACTCCTGCTTCTGGATTTCTCTCTCTTGATGTACAAACTCCAACTGGCTAAGCTAAGGGCATGTGTCCAAGCCCTCACTGCCAAACAATGGGAGATGAACTATCTGGTATTTTGGTTTATGTAGTAAGAGATGAGGGTATGACTTTTAATAAATTATGTTCATGTAATTGCAGATTGCCAAAACATATAAATAAGGTTCAGGCAGTCAGAAAAAGAAAAAGAAAACACAAATGTCCCCCACAGTCTACTTGAACAGGGCTGCAGGGGAGCAAAGAAGCCTTCCTATAGATCTGAACTGTGCACAGGCTCATTATCAAGGAACTCAGCATGGGAGAGGAAGCTCGAGTCCCAACACTCAGAGCGTGGATCTGAACCTGGGATGGTGTGACCTGCTTTCCCAAGTAAGAAAAAGGAATCTAGTCTAATGAGCACTTTTTGCTTCCTGAACAAAATCCACAACTTCAATACTAAGAAGTGTTTCTTGTTTGGTATGCTTCTTGACAGATGGTGCCACTGTAAATTACCTCTCCTACTACCCTGCTCCATTTTTCCTCAGGTCCCACCTCTACACCCTGGCAGTCATCTATGCCTATTGACTTACTGAGTGGAACTATGGTAAATTGGATCTCTAGGGGACAGAGTAAACAATCAGTAGATCGATTTATAGTGTGTTTGCCAATTTCCATGGTGTAAATACTCTCACCACAGATTATTTCAAAGCTAGCAATGGTTTAACAGAGCTGGAAGTGCCTTTAGAATCATTCTGAATTGTGGTGCCCATACATTTTGGCTGTCACAACCTTTGGAAGTTAGGAAGAATTAAAAGAAGGCTGGGCCTATCAGACGTTATATCAAGATCCCTGGGGAATCTGAACATTTAACAACTTCTTAAATAATTTGAATGCCTAATCAGGTTTGAGAAACACTGCCTGGTTTCATCTCCAGAGATCCGGCTGACTGATCTCACTACTAAATGACCCTCTTTTGACCAAGAACTCACCTCTCTTTGTCCAGAGACTCCTCCTTGGGGCACCCCAAAGCCTTTCTCCCTACTATCTTTCCGCTTCTTCAAATTCCTGGCTAAAGGCACCGGCTCATTAAACCATGGCTTGTAGCTGGCATGAAAGCGCCCTCCTTCCCGGTTGCATCTACTCTAATCCTCTTCAGGACCCTGTCTTCCCCCACAGCCTCCTCCTGGGCTCCACTAGATGGAGCTAGGCTTCCCCTCTCGTCTGTCTGCTCTTCCTCCCTCTGCTCATGGCCTGGCCCTTGGTTTTGATAGGATTCTCCAGGAGTTAGGCTGATAGTAGGGGGGCTGTCAGCTCTGACGGTGGTAGTGGTTAAAGAGGGCAAGGTGCAAGATGTAGTTTTTTTCTGGGATATTCTGTTGTTCCCCAAAATACTGGCCCTCTAAAAGTTTTAACAGAGGCAGTCAATCACCGATGTGCCTTAAAATATGTGGGCATTTGCCTTTCCCCAGAGTTTCTAGGTAAATGGCTGAAAGACCCTTTGGGGAAACCTAGGGGGAAGATCCACAGCCATGGTTGACATTTTGGTAGGTCCTTTTCTGAAGCTTACTTAGACTTCCCTTTCAAGGGATGCGGGGCCTCTGAACTGATTCAGATCTGGGAACTGGATAAGAGGTCAGGAATCTCTATTGTGCTATCTATTGTGTTAGCTCAGATCTGCAAATCAGTTACGACAGGGGTGGCCTTGCCATTCTCAGTCCCAAGGACCTCATGGACAATCAACCACAGCGAAGATCTATGTGGCACTGACCACATAAAGCAATCTCCAGACTTGCAATTTGAACTCTGACATCCTAGGATTTTCCTGTCCCCACTGAAATCAGGGAATCCTTTATGCTATAATGGCTCGGGCTAGCATTCCTGTCTATGGAGAACAGCTACTAAAATGCTTTTCAAAGATGTAGAAGCTCCACACACTCATGCATTTTTCAAAACCTTAGTGAAGGGAGTCATTGTTGAGTGGATGGGTAAGTCACACTTGATAAATCCTCTCCAGCTGGGGCTATGGATTCTCTCTACCAAGTAGTGCTAACAATTCCTTGGTATTGTTATGTAAAATGCATTTAGAATTGGCCAGCTGTGAATCCTGGTTCAAGTCCACAACTGAGCAAACAGGTTTATCCCAGTTGCTGTAGATGTGGTATTTTAATTAGAATGTTAATTGGGTACACTCATAAAAATAAATTCAGACTTAAAATTATACTCTTCCTACTTCATAAAATACTTCAAGAATCCACATCAACATGTGTTCAAGATTTCCTTGATATAAATTAGCCAGTTTGAAATTATTTGGGTGTGTGAGTCTTCACCTCTCAGCAACTGGTACCCAGGATCAGCTGAGATCTTTCTGTTGCTCTAGACCAGCAGTTCTCAACCTGTGGGTCGCGACCCCTTTGGCGGTCTAATGACCCTTTCACAGGGGTCGCCTAAGACCATCCTGCATATCAGATATTTACATTACGATTCATAACAGTAGCAACATTACAGTTATGAAGTAGCAACAAAAATAATTTTATGGTTGGGTCACAACATGAGGAACTGTATTTAAAGGGCCAGAAGGTTGAGAACCACTGCTCTAGATGGAGAGACAATGAGGAGTGGGGCAACTGATCTCTTGCAATGGAAACCCCTCAATCTGAGCCACTCAGCTTTCAGACAGGAAGAAGAGGCTGGTGTAGGTTATTTTGAGTTTTGGTGTAGGGATAATTTGAGTTTCCCAAATGCTCTCATAAATCCACATTACAATTTGTGAAGTCCCACTCTTTCTCAATCACAGACCTATTTCAGCAAGGAGACTGGTGAAAGCTGTAGGCTCCACTGACATTAGTTTGGCAACCCTCGGATCAGCCTTTACTTTTAATTTCAGCTATTTCAGGTGTTCTGTGACAGGAGATAAGAGATTATCTCGGTCCAGTCAGAGAAAGTCCTGGGTTCCCTGCCCATATAGAGTGACACTTGAGCTATTAATTAGTTGCTTTCTTTAAACTGCTTGGATCAGCCATCCAGCTCTGTAACCACTTCTAGGATTTCATGGGAACTCAATTGATCCCTAGAGAACTTTCGGCAAAAATTCACTCAAGTTTTTCTACTGTATGATATGGGCTCCTAGATTAGCATCCTTCAAGCTACGTACATTTTCATTTTTTTCGGGTCCAATAAAGCCAGATTACAGAGAGAGAGAGAGAGAGAGAGAGAGAGAGAGAGAGAGAGAGAGAGAGAGAGAGATTGATTGATTTTCCTAACATTCAAGGGAGGAATTACCTGGCATTTTAGTTTTCCTCAGCCAGAGACAGGACTCTTGTCTTCCACCAAGGCTGAGGCAATTGTAAATTCCTGAATTGGAGTTCAGAGGGTTCAGGTGCTGGGCAAAGAAAAAAGAATAATATGCTCATCACAAAACTAGCAGAACAGACTCAACCTTGGATAAACTTGATTTACGTAGGGAGAAACTGGGTTTGTCAGGGGAGGCTTTCTGATAAAGTACTAACTAACTAACCTTCTTCTCTCCTTGCAGGCTGAATCAGTGTGGTGGGAAAAGCTGAAAGGAGAACATTGTGTTCAGGAGGTAAAACTAAACTTGGTCAGGGGGCACCCGGACTTGAACCGGGGACCTCTTGATCTGCAGTCAAATGCTCTACCACTGAGCTATACCCCCACCTGCTTACCTAAGCCTAATAAGTACTCTAAACCTATAAAGCCACACCCTGACTGTTCTTGCTAGTACTATGTCATCATATCCTCTGCAAACTGGGGTTTGATCTTGGGAGCTTGACAAGATTTATATAATAAAAGAACCACATTTAGGGCTCCAGCCTACTAACAGGCCTCCCACCACCTCAAGGGAAGGCTGAACCCCCAGAAGGTGCTGTGTGTGCAAACTCACCATGTGCACACAGCACTGTGCGATGCTCACTGTCACCTCATAACAAGCTGTCTGTCTGGAATCAATGTGCTTCCCAGCATTGGAGACGGCAGTCTACTGCAGTGCCTGAAACAATAGCTCTAAGTTTTTCTGTGAACATACAAATTCTGAGATACAGGTTTTAAGGTATTGGGCCTGTACCAAGTTTAAAAATCCAACGTTTAAGCTCAAGGTGCTAGCCACACAGAACTCACGGTGGTCATTACACTATTTTCTGGGCATTTGCTTTGGTTGATGTGGGTCATGAGTTAAATCATTTAAAGCAATTTAATAAATTGTGTATTTATCATTCTGTTCATTTTTCAGCTAACAATCTGAGAGAAGATTACAAATTCCACCACACTTTCAGCACCGAAATTGCAAAGTTCTTGAAAGTCTCCCCAGAGAAGTTGGTCATGATGCAGCCTGAGAAATTCCAGTCCAAATTCGAGCCCAGGAGCAACATGATGGACATCCAGGTGGGTGAGGGTGCTTGGGACATGGGGCAATGTGTGCTTCTAACAAGCTCCCAATGATTCTTACTCACGTACAGTTTTGGAGCTATTGATTTAATTTGTGCTCTTACTTGTATAGATCTGAAAAAAAAGTCAGAAATTAAAATCATCCCCAAACAAAACATACCTGGTTAATGACAAAGTCACAACAATGTTTATTCTCAAGTGCCTTTTTGTGCTAAACACACTGAGACCCTCTTGATTTCTCCTCTTCTTCCCCCTTATTCTGCACTTGCGGAGTCCTTCCATATGCCAGATGGAAGTATGCCATGCATGGAAAAGTGATGAAGTGACAATGAGAGAGATTTATGGTCACTGCAGCATAGACACAGGACAGAGTCAACATGTGGTCAGAACAAAAGGGAGTGCCAACAGGTGACACTTGAATCAGGGACTACTGGATATGCAGTCAAATACTCCACCCCATCCACAGATATCTCCTATCTGTTTACTTTCCTGATTAGAACCATTTCACCTGTGTTGTCCCACCCAAGGATCCAATGTGTATTGTAATTTCTCTTAATTTCTAGTAAACTAATGGGAACTGACTGACTAACTGATCTTGCTTTAAAGAGAGAGAGAAATCTAAAAAGCAACATGTGAAAAAAATTGAATTCTACAATTGACAGCTGATTTATCAATAGAAGTGATGGTATCCAGGTCACAATGGAAAAGTATTTTTATAGTGCTAAAAGGAAAATAATAGCCCAACTAGAATTGTTTACAGCAGCAATTACTTTAAATACAAATTTATTAAAAACTCCAATTAAGCCCTGGCTGGTCTGGCTCAGTGGATAGAGCATCGGCATGTGGACTGAAGGGTCCCAGGTTCGATTCTGGTCAGGGGCACATGCCTGGGTTGTGGGCTCGATCCCCAGTGGGAGAAGTGCAGGGGGGCAGCCAATCAGTGATTCTCTGTCATCACTGATGTTTCTGTCTCTCTCTCTCCCTCTCCCTTCCTCTCTGAAGTCAATAAAGACATATTTAAAAAAAGAACACACAAAAAAACTCCAATTAAAATATAAGATTTTCAAACTGAATGAGAAAAAACTATTAGCTACATATGTGAATGTCACCTTAAATATGGGGACACAGAAAAGTGGAGAGTGGAAGTATAAATAAAGATATATTATGCAGATACTAAACAAAAAGGCTGGGGTAGCAATATTAATATGAAAAATAGATTTAAGTCAGTAAGCATTCTTACAGATAAAAGGATATTTTAAAATGATAAAGAAATCAATCCATCAGGAATATATTGCAATTCTAAATCTAAATGCACCCAGTAACATAGTGTCAAATACATAAAACAAAAATGAACAGAGCTAAAAGAAGAAATAGACAAATTCTCAACCATAGTGGGAGATTTTAACACAACTTTTTCAATAGCTAATAAAACAGGCAAATAAAATATCAGTAAGAATGTGGAGAATCTGAATAACAGAACCAGCAAACATGACCTAATTGATTTTATATATATGTATATGTATTTTCACAAAAACCAGGATACAAGCAAGAGGGAAAAGATGTAATAATAAAGGGGGCACCAACTGGCTGGTATGCTAAGTGGTTAGAGCACAAGCCTGTGCACCGGAGGGTCACAGGTTTGATTCCTGGTCAGGGGCATGTACTTGGGTTGCAGGTTCGGCCCCTGCTCTCCCGTTAGGGAATGAGCAGGAGGCAACCAATTGATGTGCGTCTCTCACATGGGTGTGTCTCTCTCAGATGTATTTCTCTCACATCGATGTTTCTCTCCCTCTCTCTCACTCTCTTCCCCCCCCCTCCCTTCCACTCTCTCTAAAATTCAATGGAAAAAATATTCTCACTACTTGGTTGAGGATTAAAAAATTATTTTAAATATATATTTGTATTTACTTCAGAGAGGAAGGGAGAGGAAGAGAGAGATAGAAACATCAGTGATGACAGGGAATCATTGATTGGCTGCCTCCTGCACATTGGACCAAGCCCACAACCCAGGCATGTGCCCTTGACCAGAATCAAACCTGGGACCCTTCGGTCCACAGGCTGACACTCTATCCACCAAGCCAAACCGGCTAAAGAGACTTTTTTAAACTAAGGGGGACACAAAGGGATCCTGGGGGTGGAGGTGTTCTATTTTTGAGCTGATGATCCATTTGTGGGTATTTATAAGTATTTATTCAAAAGTACTAAATTATATATATATATAAATTATATATATATATATAAATTATATATATAAATTATATATATAAATTATATATATAAATTATATATATAAATTATATATATAAATTATATATATATAAATAAATTTCAGACATTGCTGGTGGAATGCACATCCATGTATCTTCTCTGGAGAGACATTTGGCAAATAAAGGCTTAAAATATGTATGTGTAAAAATTCCATGACCAGGAACTTATGCTAAAAGCAAAACCAGATGAAAAACAGAGATGCATCTTTAACAAGACCCTTTGCAAGTTGTCTGCAAGGGTGGAAATTAAAAACTGCATAGATGTCCAGAAAAGGAGGGTTGGCTAAATAAATTGTAATAACAGCTGTACGGGTGAATACTATGTAGCCACTAGGAAAGGTGTTCTAAAAGTTTATTTTCACTTGCATAAAAAAGTAATCAAGGCTTTTTAATGTTAAAGATATAATACAACAGGAAGAATCCTTTCATTTTTGTAAGAATATTATATGCATTTTGTAAACATATATTACCTCTGAAATGACCTATTTGCTTTTTTCCAGACAATTTAGTTTTGCTAAAAGAAAAAATTCAAATTGCCTATGCCACTTACACAAGAGGTGCTTTTATCTGAAAATAAACTAATTCCAACAAGAATTGAAATGGGTCAGTGGAGACAGGTCTCGACTGCCGGCATCGCACCTGCTTTCTTCCCAATGCTTTGCAGGGAGAACCCTGAATCCAGGCTGGTGGTCTCATAGGCAAGGACATGCTGATTCAGGGTCTCTGACCTCATTTTGGTGACTCCAATGGTTTCATTGTTTGGGGAAGTCTTCGCATTTCCACAGAACCAGATAGATTTGCTTCTGTCCCTACTCCACTGGACATCCCAAGTGTGTCATCATGTTGTTCGTCCAATTACTAGAAAGAGGGTGAAGATGGCTGTATCAGTGGGTGGGGATTTTTGCAAAGTGCTGAAAAATACTCTGCTTGATTTAAGAAAAGAATTGATTGAAAACATATCACAGAATTGCTAGGCAGCAGAGCACACGGCTTGGGAAAGACGGAACCAAGTAAGCCTCAGAGATTCTGAAGTCCGCCTCAGAGATTGCCACAGCAGTGTCACCATGAGGCCAGCGTGGCCAGGAGCTGCATCTGCACGGTCAGCACTAGCCGTTCTGGTGCTGTCTCTTGTTCGTGGCTTAAGCTCCAAGAAGAGAACATCTGCACGAGCCACTAGTGTCTGGGCGGGCCCACCTCATAGCTACGAAAGGTCTTAGGTTCCGGTCCTAACAGACGGTAGCCAGAGAAAACTGGAATGTTATTGTGAGGGGGATATGGATATTGAGAAGCCAAACCAAAAAAACCCCAAACCCTCCCATATGCACAACATTGGTTATTACTGAGACACTTGCATCAAGAAATGTACAGGAATGGTTGCTGTGTTTACAATATAGAAATAGCTATTGTCACAACTGGATGCCTGAGAGAATGGGGACTTCAGGATCTCAGCGTTTTCCTGTTCTTTATCCTTTGCATCTGCCCAATATCCCTTTGAACTCAGTATCAAGGATGTTTTTCTTAATATAAATCTCAAGTTATTGGATAAAAAGCAGAAAGGGTAGGCCATCACAGACATTCAAGTGAGAGATGTCTAAGTGTGCAATGTTTAATGAGCTAAACATTACAAAAGAGCTTTGGGGATTACTACAAATATAAAAACATATAAACATATAGGTAGAACTTGGCAACTAGAAACCACCCCCATCTTCTACCTGACTACTCAAGGAGACTTTTTTTTCCCTGTATTTTTTTAAAATATATTTTTATTTATTTCAGAGAGGAAGGGAGAGGGAGAGAGAGATAGAAACATCAATGATGAAAGAAGATGATTGTTTGGGTGCCTGCATGCCGCCTACTGGGGATCAAGCCGTAACCCAGGCATGTGCCCTTGACTGGAAGGCGAGACCCTTCAGTCTGCAGGCTCATGCTCTATCCACTGAGCCAAACCAGCTAGGGTTTAGAGAGACATTTTGCATCTAAGTATTTTATCATCCCTCACACCATTACCTGGGTAACAGGAAAAACCTCCAATAAAGATTAAGGTGAGGGCAAGATGTAGCAACTTGTCTTTGAAGTTTGAGGAGGTGTCCTGACATCCTCTGAAACTTACTGGAGTGGCTGTCACTGGAGTGGCAATCCATACAAGAGATGGGGGACTGTGAACCCAACCAGGATCGCAATTTGACAGTTCTGCCTTTGTTTTCCGACAACCCGCCACTCAGTAGTCATAGGGAAGTCTGCCCATTTCCATTTGTGTCAGAAGAGCGTGTAGACACTTGAGCTTTCCATTGTATGTCTTTGAGCCTCCCAATGCTGTCAGACTGGGCTCAGCCTTTCG